TGATGGTGTCTTTCAGTGTCCAATTTTACTAGCATCATTGCAGCAGACAGAAAAGAAAGCCTCATGAAACACTGACAAACTTCACTAGAAAAATCAATAATAATAATAATAACAGCTAAGATTTGAACACACAAACAATGCAGAAAAATATTGAACAAAAACTGAGAAATGAGTACATCCACGGGTTGTAATCTGAGAAACGTATGCAGGTAGAGTTTGACTTGTCATGACCTTGACATGTTTCCACCAGTTTTCAATGGTCTTGCTTCGCATTCAAGTAGTATCGGTACAGTGAAAAATACAGAAACATAAGCACGCATGTTTGTAACTTGGGCTGTGAGTGAAAATACATTTCTTTTCAGCAAATATTGTCAAGAAAAAAATATATTCAGTTGTGTGTGTACTCTCTAACCAGTACCCAAATGTGAGGGACTTCAGTTGCTCGGAGGTTTGGGGGGTTCTCGAATCATCATTCACTAAATGACACCTAAAAGCTGGTTTATGCTTCTTCGTCAAGTGATCGGCGTGACACGGCGTGTAGCCTTGCATTTATACTTCTGCGTGCTGTTTGTGTGGCTCTGCAATAACATTTCCGAAATGCTAGCTGGCAGTAGGTTTTTACGTTCCTGTGTTGAGTTTCTTGGTAGGTGTTTTGTTTTTTTCTGAACGCTACCTAATGCTCAAGCTAAAACTCGGTCATTTAGAGGCGGGAACTGGCGGACGTTTAACAGCATTAATCGGAAGGTAAACGCAAAAGTTTCCATTTGGAGCTCCTCAGCGGGACCCGACACTTCTAAGCACTTGCTCTATCAGACTCGCGGCTCTCAGCACTGCCCACACTCGTCACTACCAAGCCGACCAATCACAGAGCTTGCGCTAAACAGTATTGCAAATATTTTTGAGAGGCCAACATTAGCGTCAGCCGCAGCAAGGGCTATGCTCTGCGCCGGACCTTACGCGTGCGCTTGACGCAGAAGTATAAACCAACCTTAATGTTTTCACTGGGTTTTAATAAGTACTAATGAATAAAGTAAGCTGGTTCCAGCCTTAATCTGCCTTGAAATACCCATCACTGACCAGCAGTTTGGGAGTATTTCAGACACAATCAATCGAAGGCGGTTCAACAGATACGAATACAAAAGGTCTACGAATAAGTAAAGATTCTTGCACACAGTGAACACAGGACACAAGCTCGCTTTGGAAGTAAAGCTGACATGTGTAATTGCCAAGGCTCAAGTTGACATCGCTTTTGAAGGGAAAGGGAAGGGTGCGACCGCAGCTAGATGGCTTTACGTGTGGGTTTATTGCAGGAATAATGCCGCCGTGGCACTATTTATTTTGATTAGGGCTGTTTTCTTTAGCTGAAAGCAGTGATTATGGACTTTTTTTTTTTGAGGGCTATGAGAGAGGCCCCTCAAAGGGGGATGTTGGGGGGGAGGTTAGAAAGGATAAAGGGGGGACAAGGCCTGGCATTCACAGGCCTCCCCACCTGCTTCTCAAGCCCCGGAGCGCACATCCAGCTGGGCAACTCTGATGCTGGTCTCCCCACAGCGGGCATGGAGGAAAACGTGCAAGTAATAAGGGACACATGAAGATGGCTGGTGTTGAATGATGAGCTTATGATTATAAAACGAAGAACTGTCACAGAAAGCTTGGAAAAGTGGCGCGTATGGGAAAGTGAGACAGCGGATTGAGGCAGCAGCGCCACTGTAGTTTTGATAGCGGTGCCTCAGTATGCCTTTCGCCTGAGCGAGTAAGGCCTGGTCGACAGTTTCTCACGGTGACCCGTCATTCCCACAACGGACGGCAAAGTCAATCAGTTGATATGTGTATGTATGAATATGTACAAATCGAGTAGTAATGCCTAAAGCCTCCCCATTTTTAACGAGAGTCAAGTTTGAAAGCAGCTGTTTATTGAGGTAATGAGTGGTTGGTCACTGATTAATCAGTGGTCTTCAACGGTAAAAGATGTGCAATTGTTTCCCTGTGCTTGTGAAGAAAAAGTAGGACTGATCCTGTCTGAGAAGTTGAGGGGAGAGGGATGAGGGGGGTAGATACTGATAAAATCTAATTTGAAAATTCCCAACATGCTCAACTCCTGATTTGGAAGCAAATCATGCCTATTGTCTGTTAGCTGTTATGATTTAGGCTTCAACTTCCTCTATTACACCCCCTTAGTCGGCTGCTTGGATGCCGTCCAATCAGACGAGGCCGTTTTCCGTCTTTAAGCTCCAGCAATGCATTATGGGATGCTGTTGGCGGGTGAGAGTGGAGCAGCGCAGAAGGGAGGGAGAGAGGGAGCTGACTGGGTGTTTCTTCTGCTGGAGTGCTCGGCTCCTGATAAAGCCTCAGTCTTTATCTGTCTCGCTGTGGGTCAACCCCCTCTTTCCTGCCTCCCGCAGATAGTGCTCTTTGTTCACATAAAGGCCTGTTGCTCTCCTCAACACAAGGTGAGCCTGACCTGATCGCAGACATTCTGATAATCTAGGTCACTTTGAGTTGTAAATCTGTGACCTAATTAGTGATCGACTCTTATGTTGTTAAGAGGACTTAATCTGGCAATTTGATAGGACTCTGGGCCACGGTGATAAAAATATATAGGCCAGGTCAGTTAGTCTGCTAATATTTGGTCATTTCAAGATTATCTGCCAACAACAGTTACTGCGTCTCAATCAGCTCCTGAGGTTGTGGGTGGATCAGTTGTTTATGTACATCAGGGGTGTCCAAAGTCGGTCCTGGAGGGCCGGTGTCCTGCAGATTTTAGCTCCAACTTGCCTCAACACACCTGTAAGGATGTTTCTAGAAAGCCTGAGAGCTTGATTAGCTAGCCCAGGTGTGTCTGATTGGGGTTGGGACTAAACTTTGCAGGACACCGGCCCTCCAGGACCGAGCTTGGACATGCCTGATGTACATGAATTTGGCCATTGCACATGGAAGTTTGCTAGGATTGTTCTTAACCTGTCAAACTATGTTATGTTCATTCATTTTTCTTTGGCTTGGTCCCTTTATTCATCAGGGGTCTTATCCAGCAAGTTTTACAACACATATGGCCTTCCAGCTGCAACCCAGTAATGGGGAAACATCCATATACACTCATACACTATGGCCAATTTAGTTTATTCAATTCATTTGGAATAAACTAAACCACACCGCATGTCTTTGGACTCTGGGAAAACCGGAGCACCCAGAGGGAACCCATGCCAACATGGGAGAACATCTAAACTCCACACAGCTGTGATTTGAACTAGCAACCCTCTTGCAGTAAGGGCGACATCGCTAACCACTGAGCCATCATGTCGCGCATGTTTGTTCATGGTAAATCTAAATCGGTTTTGCGCTGCTGACCTACTATTAGGGGAGCACAGTGTGCATCGATGATTTTCACGATGCATTGTGGGACTTTTCCGGGAGTGAACATTTCAGTGCATTTAAAGAATTTAGCAATTTGAGATGGCACTTCCAATGGCCGACTCACTCATCAGTGCACTGACCACTGAACAAGGAAGCTGATTGAGGCGCACCCAGTATCTTATAGAGCATAGGTCACAAACTCAATCCCTGGAGGTTTGCAGCTCTGCACAGTTTTGCTTCAACCCTAATCAAACACAGCTGATCCAACTTATCAAGGTATTCAAAACTATTAGATCAGCTGTGTTTGATTAGGGTTATAGCTAAACTGTTGAGAGATGGTGGCCCTCCAGGAATTGAGTTTGAGACCTATGTAATGGAGCAGGAGTCACCAATCTCATTCCTGGAGGTCCGGTGCACTGCAGGGTTTAGCTCCAACTTGCCTCAACACACCTGCCTGGGTGTTTCAAGTATACCTAGTAAGACCTTGTTGGTTAGCTTGTTCAGGTGTGTTTGATTAGGGTTGGAGCACACCGGCCGTCCAGAAACAAGTTTGGTGATCCCTGTTATATGTTATAATATGACATTGTTTCACAAAACTGTTAGCCTAAACTGATTTAAGAAATCACCGGCTTTTGGAAAACGCAGCTTAATATTCAGCTGATGTTTGTCCATTTTGAGATTAGTCCTTCTGACAGCCATGTCTGGCAAACCAATATATAGGCCAAGCTGATTATGCAGACAATATTTGGTAATAGTGACATAACTGCTGTTGGCTACCCACTATATTATTCAAGGCTATGCTCTTTGAAGCCATTGTAAGTCGAAGTACATATTGACGCCAGTGTACTTGTGCTTTCGAAAATGCAACCCATTACATCTTATGTAAATTCAGTGACTGATCTAATATCATTATTTGCATATCAATTCTAGCCAAGCACTTGACTCTTATGTTGTTAAGAGGAGTTAATCTGGCAATTTGACCGGACTCTTGGCCATGATGGTGTAAATATATAGGCCAGGTTAATTAGTCTGCGAATAATTGGTCATTTCAAGATTATCTGCCAACAGTGGGTGCATCTCAATCAGCTCCCGAGCTCGTGGATCAGTTCTTTTATCTATATGAATTTGCACATTGTACCTTTTTCTAGGATTGTTCTTTACTGGTCAAACTATGTTTGTTCATTAATTTTGCCTTCGGCTTATTCCCTTTATTTATTGGGAATCACAACTTATCCAGCCTATGTTTTACACAGCGGATACCCTTCCAGTGGCAACCCAGTACTGGGAAACATCCATCCAACAGGCATATCTGGCAAATCAATATATAGGCCAAGCTGATTATGCAGACAATATTTGGTAATAGTGACATAACTGCTGTTGGCTACTCACTATATCATTCAAGGCTATGCTCTTTGAAACCAATGTAAGTCTAAGTACATATTGCCGCCAATTTACTTGTGCTTACAATTCTTTCTGAAAATGCAACCCATTACATCTAATGCAAATAATGATATTAGATCAGTCACAGAAATTATATGTCAATCCAAGCCAAGCACAATGATTTAACTCCAATACCACTGCAATTTTTGACTTCGCAATTTGTTGCATGGCAGCTTGGCATGGTGTAGATTTCTTATCTTTTAAATTTCTTTTTTTCTTTCTCTCTCTGGCCCTCCATCCATTGCTCTCGTACGCCCACTCCTTCTCATCAGCAAGAGCGAGACGGAGTGCGTAAAACTTCGCTCTAATGGCTCTCGTCTCCCCGGCTAGTGTGCTATGAATAGCCCTGTGTAGGATGATGCAGTTTCCTAAGTGGAGGGCCTCTGCAGATGGAGCTCTGCGGACGGCAAAGGGCCAGGACTTCTGCTGTTACCTGAGAGAATGCCAACATCCCTCCCTCCCCCCCGTCTTCCTCTGGAGAGAGTAAAAAAAAAACCTCTCTGTTCTCTCATTCACACCTTGGTCTTTGGTGGATTCTGTTCGTGTGCTTATTTTTTATCTTCGAGTCAAGTAGGCGTATATATCCAGACGAGTCCCTTTTGAACGTGTCGTACTGTAGTAAAAAACCCTGCAGTTGATGAATGTGCTGTTTTTATCGAGGAAACAGCTGCTTTGAAACTTCAGCCTCCAAATTGTCGAGGGGAGCTTAGCTTAGTCCACTGAGAGAAGTGGTCCTGCCTGTTCTCCTCATCGGGCGGCTCAAGCATGTAAAAGAGGACCGATCATGACATTCGTGCTATACTGAGAGGATTCCCTTTCGAACTTGGACCCGGGCCAGCACAGTCCTGACTGTGTGTGTACAGGGTTATCGCAATGTCGCAATTAAAGTCACTTCCAGTCATTCAAGACAGAATCACCCCTCCCTCGACCCTTTCGTATCTAGCAAGTGATTCTGACACTCTTAAGAAAAAAAAACGATAACATTAATATAGAGTATGATTGACACAGAATTTGCTTCCCCTGATGTGAATACCGACCAACCCCCCAAAAAAAGAGTGCAAAGTTTCCTTTTGTCCGAGTGTAAGGCTGTCTCTTAATGTATGTTTATCTTCATCATGTTCATTCTTTCAAGCTAACAAGGCCATCCCTGAGCAGGGCGTAAAATTCAACCTCTGTTGAATTTCAGAGTAAAGTGATGCTCGTATTGTGCAGTCAATGTGAGTATTAAAGGAGAAAGAAACTGTTCTGAATCCTGAGGTGTATGTGTGCCCCTCTCCCTCACCCGTTTTAAATAAAACAAAATCAAAAAAGGAACATCTTTACCTGTCAAACCTTTCAACTGTTTAGTTCACTCGAAGAGAGCGGGTGTATATGAAAGAAACGGCAAAAGGACGTAATGGAAAGAGGCTGTGGCCAGAAGCTATAAAAATACAGACATATGGTACATCATGTAAATATTGCCATGTGGGAAAGGCATTTTCTTTTTGTGTATTTTTCCTCTTTTAAGGGTTGCACGAGAAAATTGCACTACAAGAAGCAGTTATGTACAGTACACCACAGCAAGCGACGGGGTTTAGCCTGGGCGCTTGTTACGCCAGCAATTTTTTTGGGGAAAAGAAAAAGATGGATAGAGAAGTAAAAATCAGCCTGGAGACCCAGGCGCTGTGGGCTGAAAGTGCGGCCAGGTTAAGGCGAGTTGGCTGGGCTGAGGGCAGGGCTAAGGGTGGGGCTCGAGGCGTCGGATCGACTGTAATCGCTGAGGGAGCCAGGACGCATGCTGCTCGAGACTGCGGCGTTTCCTCCACCGTGCTGCCTCTTCAGCATGGCTGGCTGGAAGTCGGAGTGACGGCGTGCATGTTTCATCAGGTGGTCGCTCCGCATGAATCGCTTGTCGCACAGGGGGCAGCCAAACTTCTTCTCACCCGTATGGGTGCGATAGTGCCGTGCCAGCTCATCAGAGCGAGCAAACTTCTTACTGCAGTCGGGCCAGGTGCAGGGAAAGGGGCGCTCTCCTGCGACATACAGAAAGCAGAACACACAGCCGTCAGTATTTACAACACACACCATCATTGTACAGACGTCTAAACTTATAAAAGCATCAACAAATAAGACGTCGCAGCTGCACTTGGGAACATTTGATTTCGATTTTTGAAAGGGTAAAAAACAAGGTGTTAAGGAGACCACATCATAAACACCACCATGCACCACTAACAGTGATAAATGGGGGCGGTGGTGCCAACTGATGTGAACCTAGTCCTTTTTTTTTCCAGCCCTTATGTGAACAATGAACTCTTTCAGCACAAAGTCTTACTGTGGCCTGTTTTATTCTACATGGGCCCCCATTAAGCTCGTGCCGACATGCTTCATTTGTATAATGTGCTCTTTCACACAGATCTAGAACCAGTTCTGGGGTTTGTCTTGCTATTCTAACAAACAGAATTCATCGAGGAAAGGGTGTACCTGAAACAAAAACCCATACTGAAAAAAACACAAACTGCCTCACAATCTAGATCAGTTCACATGTAAAACAATGGTGATTGACCCATCCCATTCAGATCCAGGTCACGCAGGGGTTTACCTTCTACCTTAGTAAGTATAAGTGGAAAAATTGAGCATTTCACAAGCAAACAGTTAACAAAACTGTTAAACAGAGCATCTACTGCGTGAGAATGAGAGATAATGGATCTACTTTCACTTTCGCTCTTGGATAGGGAAATTTTTACGCACAGACATCAATTAGTCTATAAATAATTAATTGCATTTGTCAAGCGCAAAGATTAGTTTCAAAACTATTTCTAAATTCAGTTCTAATTTCCAGCAAACGAATAAATGAACAATAATAACGAAGTGTGGTCAAACCTGAGTTATATCCTAAAACACATGCTGTGCCCCATACGGTCTAAAACCTGCAGGTGGGCAAATCTAAGCTTGTTTTTAATAAAACAAATATAAATATGGATATATTAAATAATACTGCTAATAATAATAACATTATACAAAAGCAAATTGTCATGAATGAACTGAAAAAGCCTCCCGAGATGAAGAAGACATAAAAGCAGTGATTTTTCATATTTATGTAGGCTAGAAAATAATGTTTTGTAATATTTTAATCCTTTATATTTATATCCTATATCTATTCTTATTATATCCTATATATCGTTAATATTTAAATTTTTTCATATGCAAAGATATTTGCCTATTGCTCTCTTGTGCGTATTAAGCAGTGTGTAAACAAGGTGCAACTCTGCGCTGGAGTTTAGAGCGGGTTAGTTTTGGTCTAATGAAAAATCTATTTTAGTTTCTCAAAATAGCAACGCGCCAGCGGTCCGCCTCAGAACGCCTTCCTTTTTAGACCAGAACGCGTATGGGTGCACAAATGAGCGCTAATGCATTTGCTATTTAAACAGCGTAGCGCAACGCCTCAACCACTCTTGCGGCAAGCTGAAACTAGCAAACAAGTATTGCAACGCGCCTTGCGCCACATTGCGCCGGGTGTATGATAGGGCCCTAGAGCAGCTAAACTTCACATGTAAAACAATGGTGATTGACCCATCCCATTCAGATCCAGGTCCCGCAGGGGTTTACCTTCCGTGGTTGGCTTTTAAATCCCAAAATGAGCAGTCTTCAACCAAACGTGAAAGACCTGATGTGGCACAACTATTTAGAAGCGGCTCATGAGAGCGTGCTAATCCTCTCCTATAGAAGCAAAAGTCTGCAGAAAAAAAAGTTTCTTTTACAATCTCTAAGCTGAGTGAAAAGCCCACACATTAAACCAAGAATGCGCTGCATTAAAAATGAACCATATGTTCCAGCCCAGTAAGCATTGCATCATGCTAATTGGAGAATCATGAGAATACCAGGGGGACATGTATCACTTTGACTGCTCCAAAAGAGGCTTATGGGATTTTCCGACTCATTATTGAGATAACTGATGGACACACAAACACATACTCTGGTTTATGTAGAACTCGCACACATCTCCTAGCAGCCTAGCAAAGTGTTTTGCCTTCCCCTCCCACCTCCACATGTTGCAGAGCCAGACAGCGAGTTTAATTGTGCAGGTTGATGGTCTTTACTATAGTACCCTGCCCCAGCTTGTACTCAAACACAAAGGGCTGTGAGCCAAAAGCATGGGGATATTATACCCTTCCCCTTCAGGCAATAAAAGTGGGCTCTGACACAAATCTACCCGAAGCCAGATGGGACCGTATATCTCGGTGTGGTTTTCTCGCGGTTTCATGCGAGACGAGCTGATGCAGTACCAACGCCCTTTTTTTTTCCCCTTTGTGCACACATGTCAGATACGGCTTGTGTTTTAGTTCCATTTCATTGGTTGTCTTCCCTCACAAACGTGAGAGCAGCTCTACTTATTTTACCAGCTTTTCGACAGCTGTTTTTCCTGCACCACCACAACAGTCTCGAAACCACCGTTGAATGGCGTATAGGTTGTAATGTGTCTGCAGTTTTCATAATTTTTGAAAAGGCAAGGAGCGAGCCAGACGTCTCAGTCATTACTCGGTTAAATTAGACAGAACAGGCAAAGTACACAGAGATCCAGACAGCTTTTAGCTGCTGCCTTTTGTTTTGTGGTTTCCCCTTAAGGCCCCAAATGAAAACAAACTTCAAACGAAACCTATACGTGATGCCAAATTTATGTGTGGGACGACAGCTTTGCTGGGGTCCCTTCCCCCTGCTATTAAAGATTTGAGAAGGCGAGAGAAACAGCAGGCAGAGCAAGTCTAGACTCCCCCAGTCTAAATCTTTGACCTGTCACTTACTTTCAGACAGACCTGCTAACACCATCATACAAAAAAAAACCTACTACGTGATGACAGATGTAGCCATGTCACACGAAAATACAAGAATGTGTGAATGAGCTTTTGTGTCTATGTAGGTTTGCTTGTACGCTTCACACGTTATATCCTCCCACACATGTCCACGTGAAAGTTGCTCGCACAAACACTCACTCCCACTCCCAAGTAAAGCAAATAACATCCTAGCGCTTGCATTGCAGCAAAGAACACATCATCTGATACTCATTTGCCACACACATGTTCAAGCCCATCCAAACGGCACATAAAGCCGCAGTTTAAATCCACCAAGCGTGCCACACCCACAAGAATTAATCTGAGAGGGTCACTGTTGTTTGACCTCGTTTTAAACATCCTGGATCTAGTCATGATTGTGGCGTATAAACAAAAATACACAAGATCTAACATTAGCACTGTAGGAATGGAACAAGAGCGGTAGACGGTTTGAGATTCTGCCTTCAGCGACTGCAGAAGCCAACCTGCAATTTACAGTCTAATTAATACACGAAAAAGTCTGTGGGAACTCGAGGTTGTAAAGCATGAGTTATGAGTTGGGGATAAAATGGTGAGCAGCTTTGCTGCAAAGACCAAGGCCGTACTTACACTAGGTACAGTTGCCTCGAACCGGGCCAAAGCATGCTTGTCCCCTCTCCTTTCTCCCCCGACTTACACCACAATCGGGCCTGGGCACGCTTACGTCATCGATGCTGCGCTGTTCAGTAGAGAATCACTCTCACTCAGCAGCACAGTGGAGATTTCTCTAGTCATATCATTTCAGTCGGTTTGATATGCAGTGACATGCAGTCAAATATTTCGCCAAACAGTCCTTAGGGATGCGGGGACACGCAGTCAGGTATTTCGCCGAACAGATCCGCCACCTTTGGCGCTAATAATCAATCATAAAGCCCTCATGCTGCAGGAATAAGGAGGTCTGCTGAAGGTGCGCAGCTGTAGTGAAGTGGGGAGTTCTCGTCTTTAATAAGCTATGGCAGTTTGCGTTCACTGAACAGTAAGAATGATTAATAAATCCATATGAAACAGTCCCCTAAAGTCACGTCTCGCTTTCAGTTTCGGGCTTTGGCGCGTTTTGCACTCACACTACAAGCGTACCGCGCCAAAGCCCAAGTGAACCTTGCTCAGGCCCACCTCTTCCAACCGGGCCAGGGCTGGCTAAGTGAACCATGCCTGAGCCCGATTCAGCACGCACACACTTCTCAAACGATCCGGGAAACGGGCCTGGGCACGGTTCGGATAGCGTAGTGTGAGTACGCCCTAAGAATAGCAATAGTATGAATATATCAGAAACTGGGACAAGCCTAAAGGTGTGAATAGTGTAAAAACTGTTATTCCTTGCTCTGTTAAACATCATTTGGGAAATATTTATTTAAAAACAATTCTTAGGAGTACTAATAATTTTGACTTTCAACCGTAATCGTTTGGAATAATCGTGATTACAATTATGACCAAAATAATCGTGATTATGATTTTTTGCCCAAAACGAGCAGCCCTACACTGAAGCTAAGGAGTCAGGTCAGTACCGGGATGGGAGACCACATGGAAAAGCTAAGTTGCTGCCGAAAGTGGTGTTAGTGAGACCAGCAGGGGGCGGTCAACTGGTCTATGTGGGTCCTAATGCCCCAGTATAGTGAAGAGGACTCTATACTGCTAAGTGAACGCCGTCTTTCAGATGAGACGTTAAACTGAGGTCCGGACTAGCTGTGGTCGTTAAAAATCCCAGGATTTCCTGAGAAAAAGAGTAGGGGTTTTTCCCAGCACCCTGGACAAATTTGCCCACTGGCCTCAGTCCATCATGGCCTCATAATTGAATCCATCATTCTGAGTATTTTCCACCAATCAGCCGCTGTGTTGTGTGCGGTCTAGCGCAATTCGGCTGCCGTCAAGTCATCCAAGTGGATCCTAAACACTAGTGGTGGATGAGATTATTCCCAAAAACGTGAAGCACTCTGAGTGTCCAGAAAAGCTCTATATAAATGTAAGGAATTGTGATTATTATTATTATTATTATTATTATTATTACTATTATTATTATATTATTGTAAAAAGTGACAATACAGTGCGTAGGTGTTTCTCTAATCTTAATTTGTCACACTTTGTGGCAATGTTATGAGTGTTTAAACACACAGACATTACAAAAAAATGTAACCCAAATGGACCAGAACACTAGCATTTATCATAAAAAA